AGCAACATTCCCAAGCCAAAGTCCAGAAAAAACATACCTCTCTGAATTTACCACCCTGCAGTTCTGAATCCGCCCCGTTAGAGGGGTCTCCTCAATGCCGGAGATGTTCACATGTTCCCGGGTTTCGGCACCATATGTCCCGCGCGCTGTATGTTCTCGCCGGCAAGAAATACATGCAGGACACTCAGATCCTTCTGCAGACAAGCTTTAATGCATCTTGAGAGTTGGGAGAGCATAAGCTTACCAGAGCGGAGACCCTAAACCAAGAATCCCATTCCTTAATAAAGGCTGGCAAGCCGCCTGGGACGTGTTACCCTATGAATGGCTTCAGCTCCTCAGGCCAAATGAGCCACGGGATAGGCAGAGATCAAAGGAATGGAGATTACCCAGCGCCTGTGAAGTAATTTACATTTTGGTGTCTTCAGGCACCATTATTGTAATGGAGAATGCAGGAAACGGCTCCCTACAACACTTGATTTTCAGAATAATTGCTAAGACACGGCTAACAGGCGCAGGGTGATTTTTGAGACCTCTGGGTGGATGTGCTGTTCACTGAGTTTGCTTTGTGTTCACCAGCTGAACAATAAAACTCCAGTCAGTAGCACTGTGCCCACCCCAGGCTTGTATATTAGTTTTGCTCATGTTCCCACATGTATGGCAGCAGGACTCCATGAAGATCTTCAGGTTACACCATGAACCCAGGTACAGTGTGGCTCTTCCCTCTCTGCTCTTTTTTGTTCACAAGGAGTCGAGGGACAGGATAATTGTGGACGAAATTAACTTCTCTCTCTAGAGACAAAAGAAGAATCATTAGGGAAGTAGATGCTGCTGGCAGAGACCTATGGGGAAGTAGATTATCTCCCTCTGATTTTCATTGCTGAGTCCTCTTTTTTTCCTTAATTTATATTTTACTTTCAACATTGTTTTTAAAAATTACCCCCAGCTCACAAACAATGAGGCGCTATATGTCCTCCAATCAAAATGTGAAGATAGTGGATATTTTGTTCAAATTGAACGATTTTGTACAATTTTGTAAGGGATTAGCCAAGGAAGTCTGCCTCTTTTTAAATTCATGTTGCTGTAATTGGCCTTTTGTCTCTGGAAATTGTCTGACTTCTTCTTCTGTAATCTTATCTGCAAGTCTGACAAAACAATATTGTTAATAAAAATATCACACTAAAAAGTAATTAGTTAAAATACTATTATATGGTCAAAAAAGAAGAAGCATGTGATTACAAAACATCCACTGTGTGTGGATGCGTGTACATATGACAATTCATCACTCTCTCATAAACCATCAGAAGGAATCACTGTTTCCATTTCATAGCTGAAATGACTTAGAGGCCCAGAAAAGCTACTTGGCTTACTCAAAATTATGCAGAAGCTATAAGAAATGGAGTCTGGAGTTT